TATTGTAAATAAAAAAAACATGTATGTTATAATAATATATTCGTGATTCTTTCGCACCGTCCTCGTCGTTCCCCGCGCGATGACTCGATTTCCGCGTGATCGCTTGCTCTCGCTCTGTCTTTCGCGCGATGAAGATCGGGTGTTAGCCTAGAAGAAGTTAAGCTACAATTTTTTAAAAAATTGTACATCTCAGTAAATATTTTTTATTCTTAAAGTTTTTGTTTTACAATCGTATATAATTGTCTGAGATATTTTAGAGATTAGTTTTATGTCTTCTTTTTTTCGTTCTTTTAGTTGCTTCTGTAAAAAAATAAAAAATAGTACGTTATATATAAGTTTAAAAAAAAATTGGGAAGTACATAGAATAGAATACTTACAACTCCCAATTTTCGGGTTTGGGATCGATTTCGTATGGCTTCATCCCGAATAATTCTTTAAGGTGCATTTTTCCATCTTGTCACATTCGGTATACCATCTCCTCGTAGAACCACCGCCTTTCAGCGCGTGTAAAACGACGGTGCTCGTGGTTGATAAAACCTTTAATCGTAATATTGCCTCGCCACATATCCTGTAAGAATAATATATTTTATAAAAAGAATCATAAACAAGTATAAATAATTATTATTTTACCAAAGGGATGATTTGGGGGGGATCCCGTTTGCCTACAAATCGATTGCCTACAGCACCTTTTGCCTACATCCCATTTGCCTACAAATCGATTGCCTACATGTATTATTGCCTACAGTTCGATTGCCTACATGTACTATTGCCTACATGTACTTTTGCCTACATGCATTATTGCCTACAGCTCGATTGCCTACAAGCACTTTTGCGCACAAATAAAAATTTTAGAAACAGAATTACTTTTGCCTACATGCATTATTGCCTACAGCTCGATTGCCTACATGTACTATTGCCTACAGCTCGATTGCCTACATGTACTATTGCCTACATGCATTATTGCCTACAGCTCGATTGCCTACATGTACTATTGCCTACAGCTCGATTGCCTACAGCTCGATTGCCTACAAGCACTTTTGCGCACAAATAAAAATTT